GGGGGGGGGGGGGGGGGGGCGGGCGGGGGGCGCGGCTCTGGTCCACCGTGCGGCGGGCGTCACGTGTACTCGGCGGGCGTCACGGTGCGCGGTCACATGTGGGAGGTGTATTGGTTGGCGGGCGGGCGTTCAGTGCGGGCCGACCGGGGCCGGGCCCTGTTGTCCGGCGGCCGCGGCCCGGAGAAGGCGCCGCAGCAGCCAGGGGACCTGGTCCTCGGCGAGGACGAGGCTAATGAGGGAGGGGGCTTCGCCGGGGCCGGCCGGCTGGAAAACCGGCCAATCGGCCGGGAGATGTTCCTCCGGGCGGACATGCACAACGGGCACGGCGCCGGGATCGGGACCGGTGATTGTGGCGGTGGCGGTGGCGGTGGGGTCGGCGTCGAGCGCGCAGCCGGCCGGGGCCGGGGCCGACAGCAGGGCCACCGGGCGGATGAAAGTGGCCCCGGCCAGCGGCCCGCCCCCGAGGGCATAGTACTGCCGGTGGTGGGGCAGGGCCCCGCGATCGACGATGTAGCCGGTTACCTCGCCCGCGGGCGGGGCGCTGCCCAGATACAGGGTCAGCAGGACAACGCCGCCCAGGAAGCCGAGCCCGGCGAAGAACAGCCACGACAGCAATGCCGTCAGGTAGTTACGGCCGCCGGCCGGGCCGGCAAGAGCCACCGGCAGGGGGGCGCTGGTGGTCTGGACACTGGTGCGGCGGTGGCGGCGCCGCCGGATGCCATCGGCCGAGGGTGTGCCAGTGGCGGCGGCGGCGGCGGCGGCGGCGGCGGCGGCGGCATCAGAGCCGGCGGTCAGTGCCTCGGCAGCCATCGACCGCGATGTGATGAGGAGGGCCAGCTTGCGCAGGAGAAGCTGGACCTCGAAGAGTGGCTGACGCTGTGGCGCGCGCGCGCGCGGGGGGAGGGGGGGGGACAGAGGACACAGGCAGGGTGAGACAAGGCAGGGCGAAGGGCAGGGCGAAGGGCATGCAGGCGTGTGGTGTCGAGGAGGCGCAGGCCCCGGGCGGGGCGCGAGCGCAAAGCGCGGTGGGGCCGGTTGACGTACAACAGCCAGGCCGGGCTCGGGCTCGGGCTCGGGCTCGGGCTCGGCCCCGGTGCCGTCCTCGGCCGGGGGGGCGGCGCCTGCGGCCGGGTGCTCGGCCGGCAGGGTCCCGAGGGACTCCTCCACAAAGCGCAAGGCCGGGGCCAGCTGCGGCGTGGGCGTGGCCCCAGGCTCCAGGTGCAGCAGGCACAGGCGCAGGTCGGTCACCAGGATGTCGGCGGCCGACTGGATGGCCGACAGGGACTGGCGGGCGCTGGCGTCCAGCGCGGCCCGGGCCTGGGTCCGCTCGACCTCCAGGTCGGCCAGCAGCTGGACCCGGTCGGCGCGGAGCCGGTCGCGCTCCTGCGACACTCGCGACAGCTGCTCCTTCAGCGAGGCGAAGCGGGCCTTCAACGGGCGGATCGACTGCGACAGCTCCTCCGCCAGGCGGGTGTGCTCCTGGTGGTGCGCCAGCAGGGCGTCGAACTCGCCACGCAGGGTGGCATGCTCGTCGGCCAGGGTGGCGTGGTCGTCGGCCAGGGCAGTGTGGTCGCCGGTGAGGGTGGCAAGCTCGTGGGCGATGGTGTCGCGCTCGGCCACGATGGCGTCGCGCTCGGCCATGGTGGTGTCGCGCTCGGCCAGCAGCATGTCATGCTTGTCGACCAGCGAGGCGTGCGCGCTGGCCAGGTCATCCAGCCGCTTGGTCAGAGACTCGCGCTCGGCGTGCAGCGTGTTGCGCTCGGTGGCCAGGGCCTCCAGCTGCCCGGCCAGCTGCTGGGCAGAGGCGTCGGCCTCGCGAGCCAGGACCGCGTGCCTGGCTTCGAGCGCCGCATGCTCGGCGGTCAGCGAGGCGGCCTCGGCCAGCAGAGTGTCACGCTCGGCCAGCAAGGAGGTGTGCTTGGCGGCCACCTCGTCCCGTTCGGCGGCCAGGGCGTGGAGCTGGTCGGCCAGCTGCTGGGCGGAGGCGTCGCTCTGCTCCAGCAGGG